CACACACACACACACACACACACACACACGCAGATGCACACTCTCCGTGGCCCTTTCCGTGGTGGCAGAGAAGAGCACGAAGCTGCGCTGCCTTCTGTCCCAGTCCAGCCACCCGCTGGGGCTGTGCCACCCGTACAGCGCGTACGGCCCCGGGGCTTATCCCGCCCTTCCAGGAGGGAGCCTGAGATGGGAAGGAGGTGGGACAGGGGAGGTGTGGGAGGCTGAAGTCCTGAAATAGCTCATGGTTGAGATGTAGTGCCTGAACAGGCTGGAGGGCGGGAGTGGCTGAGGAAGAAGAAAAATCAGTGGCGTCTTGGTGCAATGTGCGGGTCAACCTAAATGCAAGAGAAGTCCCGTGGAGGTGGAGGGAACCACTGTTTTTAAAGAGAGCATCCTGCAGCTCTCAGTGTCAAAATCTTTTTCTAGAAAACAAACCTTTCATACCATTTCTTTGACAATGACTTAATTTCAAGCAGTAAGAAACATTCTCTAGATGAGGTTTTTTGGAGCATACATCTGTGAGATTGACAACAGGTAGAACAGGGGGCAGTTTTGATGTTGCCTTTCCTTTCTCCCCTGCACTGGCAAACAGGTCATACCTGTTGCTCTCTTCCTCTTGCTGTTTCTCCAGCTGCTGCCAGAGCCACTCAAGCTGGTGACACCTGTATTCATGAGTATCTACACATAGCTTTGCCACCAAACAGTTTTCAGGAACTTCCATCTTCCCATGCCACCCTTGCCTCTGCTAAAGCACTGCTGCCAGGCTGCAGCCATGTGCCAGTTCCCCTCACTCTCTCCTTTCCATGACTTTCCACACACCATGTTCTCCTCCAGGAGGTGGAGAACCAACATGCTACAGATCTGCCAAACCTCAACATGCTACAGATCTGGCTACCATTTAGAGATCCCACTCCTGCAGACTGCTTACTATGAACTGAATGGATTTACAAGAGCTCTACAATTTCTCTCTCCTTGTCCTATTCCATGTTTCCTAACCTTTTGCTGCTCATTGTTCATAAAGCATGAGCTTCTCAATGCAGGGATTACATTTGCAAGAGTTTGGAAAGATCTCATGCAAGGTGCCACCCTAATTGCAACAGGTAAGTAGTACCTCGAGTGTTGTACCTTGAGGCCTCAACCCAGCCATGGTTGATTGCAGTTACAAGGACTATTGCAACCTCAAAGTTCTCATTTAGAAACGAGATGCTTTTGTATGACGTCAATTATCTCATAGAAAGACCTGTGTGTCCTGAGATACATGAGGTTGAACTTAATGACCTTTCATGTTTCATGCTAAGGGAAATAAGACCAAAGAAATTAAATGAAAACATGCTTTGATAGGTTTATCCCTTTTATTAGTTTAATAAAAATAAATATGTTTTACATTTCCTGTTGTTAAATATATATACACACAAAATAGCTTTTCACATAGATTCATAATTAATAGAAATCAAAGGCTTCTGTTCTACTTGTGGAAAACAATTAAATTCATAGCAGGATTCCAATTCCATTGGATTCAACAATATACTGTCTGCAGTGATGTTGATTGAAACTATCATACACTTCACAATGAAAAACGTGTCAAGTCTCTGTCTTATTGGCTGACCTGTAGGTTTACAGCTGACTTTTAGAAATTAGTCTTTACCATACAGCATTTACATCAGACCTAATAGAAGGAAACATTGCTGGATTTTGTTCAATTCCACAACAGGGGGAATCCAACCTCATGGTGACTTAGCCCACTGGGTCTTTTTCTTTGCTTTTGTTTGTCAGTCACTCAACTGTGAAAGTGACATTGTAGAGGATCCAGGTTTCACCAATTTTTTCCTGATTTTTTTCCAAGAGTGGCCACCTATTGCTTACTGGACACCATTTTTAGAATAGTGTGATATGCTAGGGCTAACTCTTGCCGTTACACAGGAAAAATCCTCATAGGCCTCACCAAGTGTATATTTGACATAACACCCTCCAAAGACAGGATTTTGATTACAAGTAAGTGCAAAATGCTGGGATTATTTTCCTCTTGTTCCATACTAGTTTTTCCTTAATTTGTAAACCTCCTGTAATCTGTTTAAAGAATCTTGGCATTTCTGCATAAACACTCCTGTGTTGGAAAGAAACAATGTTGTTACAGCAAGAGAAAAGAACAGGTAATCAGAGGGAGGTTTGAGTATCACTCTCAATGGGATCATAGTGCAATTGTAAATTGTTAGAAAGAACACGTGCTTGCTGTGACCACATCACACTATTTTCTTCCACTGGCTGTCAAAGCAGTTCTCAAACTGTTTGCAGGATATGTGACACACTGCTGATTCTCACTCTTTTGTCCTCCAGAGGACCAAGCAACAAAGAGACAGGATATGGCACAAGCATCTGAAAAGAGAAAAGGTACCAGTTTGCCCAGAGTAAGAGATCTACTACAAGTTGAAGACAACACAAGAGCTGCAGTGTCACCAAGAGTTGAGAACAGAAGTGGACTGGGCAGCTGGACAGTGTATGTAGAGGCTGGAGAAAAGGAGATGGGTGTTGAATAACCTGCTGAAGGGAGCAGGCAGCTTCCTACTGGACATTCACATAAGCCACACTGCAGTTACTAAGGGGATGCTGCCAATTACAAATCGGTCAGAAATAGGGAAGTAAGTACATGGGTGCCATGGAAGATGTGTTGGCCTTTGTCAGAGCCTGCCCATCTTTTATTATAATGTCTACTCCCCACTGCACTGCAGTTGTGCTGTTCCTGAGACCTCTTCTCTGAACAACCTTCTTGTCGTGGGTCAGGACAGAACCTGCCCCGCTGTTCTGTCGAGGGAACTGATAAATCCGTTGACAGAGAAGCATAGATACAGCAAGGCAGCCCTTAGGTTTTGTGTGTTAAAAAATAATACTAGTTATTCAACAGTGTTGCTATTTTTTATGCTACTCTGTTCAGAGAGAAAGGCAGTCCTCTGAGAAGCTTACAGTCTACATTTAGAAGAAGATGAGTCACAGGCAGGGAAAGGGACTCACTGGAAGGGAAAGAACTATACAAAGGTCAAGTGAGGGGTTTTGGATCTCTTGCTTATGGGTGTTCCTAGGCAACAGGCATATCCCCCTTATCAGGGTCAATCCCAGTATTCCCCTGAGCTTTGCAGGTCTGTTCCCATTTGCCTTAAGCAGCAGCAAATCCCAAAGGAGCACTCAGTCAGCTGAGCTGATAGAACAGGTAGGCATTTTGAATGTACTCACACATCAACATGCATACACGCATATATATGAAGATACCTTGCAAAGGCCCCAGAGATCCATATTTCCACAGCATCTTTTATCAGTTCAGGCATGTAGTCAGTTCCAGATGACTGCCAATGCAACCCGGGTCAGGATGGTGATGCAAGCCTAAGTCAACCCACAAGTCGGCTACATTGCTCCATCACATGGAAGGTGGCCAAGCTGTATGGCAGATCACAGGAGAGACAAAAGAGAAGTATTGAGGAAAGCTAAAGGAGTAAAGACATGCATGAGTAAAAAATGCAACAATAATGAACAAAAAATAAGGATGTAGAACTACAGAGAGGAATATATCAAAAGGAGACAAAGCTCTGCAGCAACTCTTAGAGCAGAATGGGGGACTGCTGGTTATCTGGGATATGTCACGTGTTTTTCGTGCCACTGAGAAGAAGTGTAGTCATTTGTTTCATTAAATGGCATTCTTGTACCCAACACTAATTTTATCCCTTTACAAATATGTTTTTCAGTCTAGCAAGTCAAGAGCAGCTCTCCTTTCTGTACAGTCATTCTGCTCTCATGCCTCTGTTATCATTACTCACACTTACTGAGGTGAGGCCAGATTCAAAAAAGGGCCTGGCTCTTGCAGTGCTGAGCACTGCAGCATGTCTTTGCCTAAATCCACTGCCTCAAATTACGACACCCTGCCCCAGTGCACACTGAAGGCAAAAAGTAGAATACCTAAGAACATAATCTTCATTATCCATCCTGTTTTATGAAGATGTCTACAAGAACCAGTTATACATGTCAACAAATCTCTCAAGACACCTTGTCCACTGCTGAGTTGATCCTAACGCTGGGGTGAGGCAAGATACCTTGTGTGGAATTCTCAACCCTCAGCCTTTCCTTAGGCACCCACTCCATCTCCTTGCAGGGGTCATCATACCCCGCTAAATCCGCATGCTATTTAGCACTCACCCAGGAACTCAGTTTTCCCTGAAAGGGCAGCAAAGTATTTTAACAGCATGGTACAGATGTGTGCTGGGTGAAGTGATCTTGTTGAAGCTCTTGCATAGCACACAGAATCATAGAATCAATCATCTTATCATAGAACCACAGAATGGTTTGGGCTGGAAGGGACCTTAAAGATCATCTAGTTCCAACCCTCCCTGCTGTGGGCATGGACACCTTTTACCAGACCAGGTGGCTCAGAGCCCCATCCAACCTGCCCTTGAAAACTCACAGGGATGGGGCATCCACAACTTCTCTGGGCAACCCATTCCACTGCCTCACCACCCTCAGTAAAAAAATTTTTCCTAATAACTGGTTTTCCATCATCTGCAATGATGTGAGGGAAAGCCAGCGGGACTGGAGGGGCTGGGGCAGACATTCTCAGTGCCATCCCTGTGCATAAATCTTAAACATGTGTTAAAGCCATGTATTTGGGCAACTCTGAAAACAGGTATTTATGTAAGCCTCTTCCCTCCAAGCAGGTGCTTGGGGATCCATGTTTCAGACTTGGGCCTTGCCAGCAGCAGCCCAAGTCTGGGGCTCCCGCTGTCAGCCCTACAGTACTCCCATGGGCCTAACACAGGGCACCTCAGCACTTGTGAGAAGGGGCACCAGGCACTGAACAAGCACAGAAGAGCTGATTGTCCCTGCTCTGCAGAGCTTACAGGAGAAAATGAGCCAGAGAGCAGTTGGTTGAGAGAAAGGGACGGAACTGGTAACATAAAGTGCCATAATAAATAAGCAAGTAGGCACAGATTTTGATTAGTGTGTCACTCATCCTGCAGTTGCACACTTTTGACTGTAGTTTATGTGAGAAGGAGAGGGACCTGCAAACACAAGCCAGCTTTGAAACACAAGTCTTAGCTTTGAAATTGAGCCATTCAGGCATTTGAGGTTACTACACTGTGTAGCAGCTATACACTCCTTGTTTCTTAAATAAATTTTGGCATCAGCAACCTGTCCTTCTGCTTTAGGGAATAAAGTCCAAAATTTCTCAACAACAAAACACTCCAGACAAATGTAGCAATGGAAGATAAACAGAACCTAAAGCCAGACAGTAGTTGGCATATTAACTAGTTGAGTCTATAGATTGTAAATTTAGCATGTCAAGCAGATGTACACAGCTCTTTATGAGAAGGTCTGTTCAGCTTCCCTTACAAACAGAAAACAAGACAAATGGCACTATAAACTTCTAGTACTTTGTACAGGGTTTTTTCACTTTTACCTACTGTGGATTAACAGGTGAGTCTCCTGTAAAATCTCAAAATTGCTCTTTTTATTGCCATTCCCCATTTAGAGTTTTCAGAAGTGATTACAATGGGGAGCTCCAGATCCTCTCATCATGCAAACTAAGGAAAGTCTTGAGTAGGACATGCATATAAAGTGGTTGTTTTTTTTTAATCACCAGCAACACTGGAAATCAAGTACTACTAAAAAAAAATTCTAATAGTTGTGCATGCTGCAAATCCAAGTGCAGCATGTGTTTACTGGAGAGACATAATATGGCCATGGCAACAGAAGATTAACCATCTTCAATCCTACAGCCCACTGAAATATATTGATTTTGAGCTGAAAATATCATCTGTAGAAATGAAATACTGTGTGCTCATTGTTTAATCCTTGATGTCTCTTCTACCTAGTTTCGTAACTGTAGATAAGTGATACAGATACTTGTCCACATAAAATGAACAAAGTTCAGGAATGCATGTCCCTCACACCACTGCCAACACTGAGTCTCACCTTGCATCATACAATCACTTTCAGACACAGATGATAGACTACATTTGTTAATAAACCTCTGTCTCCTCATCTATAACCCATTATTCATCCACTGCACTGTATTATATACACTCAACCCTCTTTCACAGCATCCTTTTGTGGAGCGTATTGAATGTGAGATTGTGTCTATAGCTCTCCCTCCACTCTGCTCCACCACATCTCTGAAAGAGACTACCTAGCACAAGCTGGTACATTCCCAAGAGACAGAAATCATGTGACATTTCCTCTCTTTCACATAACAATTTACCTCTTCCATCATCATATCCTTTTTAAAAAAATCCATCATCCTCAAGTCTCTCATTAAAGACTCACTTGCCAGACAGTTCTGGTGCACCTGGTACTTGTAGAAGACTTTGTCTTGGCCACTCCCAGTATTTCACAAACATGAATTAAGTTTTGAAGAATGCCTGTTAAGTGCAGTGTATCACTTCCAGAGGAAATGGGATGGTAGAAAGTTCAGTTAGGACCCCACCAGTGGCAAAAGTTGATAGCAAAGAAAACCCAACCTGTTTCCTATTTATCTTTAACACCCAATTATGCATCCATATGTTTTTCTTCGAATTCTCCATACTTCTTTAAAATGTCCAGCTTTTAGATTTCCTAAAGAGTCCTACCATTAGTTTTAACCATTAAAGTTAGCATTTCAAAACCACCCTTGTTTAAAAACAATGTAAGACCAAAGACACCACAACGTTTCCACCAAGAACACCATCTATTCAGGGGGTGTAAAACACTACCCCTCTGGAGACATCAATGGAAATCTGAAGATTTACAGCAGCAATGACCTGGCTCCAAAGCATTCCTACAAATAATAATTAAAAACAAACATCAAAAATAAAAAACCCCAACCCAGAAATGCTGCTGCAGGCTGCCTTGAACCATCCCTTTCCCAGTCTACTGCTACCAATTCAAGCTTGAGCATACTTTGATTTTGTTCAGCGTTTAAGTTTCCAGTTCTTCTATATATTGATCCTCTGTTACTTTTGCTCATCAGCCAGCATGCACAGCAAATCAGGTTTGTAGGTATATATACATTGGTGAGTATACATATGTATATATTCTGCCCAGACTTGTTTACATAGAACCAGCCAAAGAATAGACTCGCCCTACTCAGTACATCTAATTTTTGTTTAATATTAAAATATTAGTTGTTTTGCTTTTGTTATTGAATCACACAAATATCATTATCAACCTTGTCTCATAAATGCTTCTCACTTCCATGAATTTTCTCCTCCAATTAGTACTATTTCAAGAGGCAATGCAGCACAAGAGAACGAGAAATTGGTGACACTAGAGGAAGTGCCTCTTTTTGCAGTGGAAAGCCTTGGAGGATGACACAGGCAAAAGAGGTCAGAAAATCCTACTTTGCTGAAGACCTAACACTGTGTTCCCACCATTTCAATGGGAAAGTACATGACTTTCTTCCAGCTCAAAAAGGTCAAGAAAAGAACAAGAGAAAGAACCTGAAGAATCTGCTATGTACAGGAATTATTTTCGTTAAAGAATCAGAGTCATGATGGAAGAGAGAAATATTTTTCAGGAATCTGGGTTAGATAACAACCAGGCATGTTTCATTCCATACTCATACAATCACTTTCATGGTCTCACTTCTGCCCTGTAAGCCTCAAGATTGAATCCGTAGCTCAAATCCCACATTACAGAAAAAATGTGCAAGAAACAATTTAGAAATAATACATATTTATTTTTTTGTCTTCCAAGTCTTTTGTGCTGTCTCATACCAAATAAGCCTTCCATTTTCATTACTTGTTTCCCTCTAGGCATATGAAGGAAGTTTAATCCCTATAATCCATTCATTCCTTTGCTTCAGCAACTATTGAAAGTGCCACTGGTAGCACTTAATGCATAAATTGATGATTAGATTGATTTTATCACTTAGTTTTCTATTGACCACTGAATGGAAAGTTACATCCTTAAAACATATTATATTATTTCTCTTTGAATAACCTGCTACAGATGTGGACTGAGAAATAAAATTAAAATGGATGGCTGAGCAATGATTGCTTAACTCCCTGCTTTGAGGAGATTTCCCAAATAGCAAAAACTCCAAGTAAAGACCTAAATTGTCTGCCTAGAGGATGGTAGCCTTGCTGAAAAGCAATGTTCTTTAATCATTAGGTTCTTCTGTCATTTTTTCAGTGCTGCACTAAATGCTGTATGTAAAAACTATGGAGTTCAAAAGGCAAAAAAAAAGACACAAGGTCTCACACCTAAGGAAGCTGATTACACCTTCCTTTTTTAGAATGCAACATTGCCTTGCCCTAGATGACTTGAGTTTTTTCATTTAAATATATTCCAAAAAATTTTTTCATGAAGACTTCTACAAGTAGCCCATCCAGGGGCAAGATGTCAAGCAGCACTGCGTGAATACACCTTCAGCATGGTGTCCAAACCACACATACAATTCATAGCAAATA